GGGGGGGGGGGGGGGGGGGGGGGGGGGGGGGGGGGGGAGGGGGAGGAGGAGGCGCGCACGCCACTCGGTTTTCATCAAAAGTGGAGAAGGAGCGTCCTGGCCTCATCCTTCTAGCTCCCGCCCCTTGGATTTGGGCCCGTTTGTGATAAGGTAATTTAGGACACAACGCTCTCCCCCCCCGCCCCCATTTCCCTTCCCCCGCAAGAGGCGTGCGCGGTGGAAGTCTCACCGTTTCCAAGACTGTAAGGTGCTGCATCCTGTATTAACCCTTTAAATAAACAGCACCCCTAGGACGTGGCCGGCTCTCTCTTCTAGACGCCCTGGAGGTCGGGATCTTTTTAAGTTCTTCTGAAACTCCCAGGATCACGTATTCAATCTCCCGCTGCCTCTAGAGGGGGCAGCTGGAGGACTTTACCCCCGCGGGAGGCGAGGTCAGAGGAGCGGGCCCTGCGCACCCCGAGGTGGACACCGAGAGCAGTGTGGCTGGCGTGTGTGCAGACACCGCTGGGAATCCGTGGTGGGGCTTTTCCGTGTTCCCGTCTCCACCGGGCTCGGGAGGAGCTGGACGGGTCCCCCTCAGCGGAGGACGCTGCGGAGTTGGCCGGCCATCTCCAGGAGGCGCCCTGGAAGGAGAAAGGGATCGCCAGGCACCAGTCCTGCCTGACGAGCTTTCTGTGAGCAGTGCAGTAGTCAGTCGGGCACTTCCTCTGAGAGTATTGGCTTTTAATTAAAACAAGCCGTACAGCTTTACATCTCTAAGAAACTCGGGAGATTTCACATCACTCACTCACTCACTTCATTCATTCATTCATTCATTCATTCATTCATTCATTCATTCATTCATTCATTCATTCATTCATCAGGCATTTACGGAGAAATCTGAGGCTGTGACTTGATTGGGATCCCAGTATTAATAGGCAGGATCGTGTGTCCATCCCTGAATCCTTGAATCTGGGTACCCTGGGTCTTACTGGGAGGAAGATGGGGTGAGGGAGAAAGTAGAAAAGTAGGTGGGAGCTAGTGCAGTTAGAACCACAACTTCAACTCTTATTTTCCGAGTGAAAAATTGCATTTTTTAAAAGACTGCCATTTTTAGTATGATAGGTTTTTGTATTATTATTATTGTTATTAGTCTCGTGAGTTATTTTCAAAACCTTTAAGTTAAAAAATTTAGCGGGTATCACGTGGCTCTTTTCTAGAATTTTCCTTGCAAAGGTTCTTCATGGGCACCATTTTCCTTCTTTTTTTTTTTTTTTTTTGTTTGTTTGTTTGTTTCTCTCCCTCAAACACTATTGGAAATACAGATGTGAAAGAGTAACGGAGAGCTCAACATCAGGCGCTGGGTGTGAGCTATCTGAGAAAGTGCCTCCTAATTGATCTTTTATGTGCTATTTTAATTCAGCCCTGTTCAGACCCATTATTTTAGCTATAACCACTTCAGATTGCTTTTTTTTCCTCTCTCTCTTTTATTTTTTTTTTTTATAAAAATGTCTGCAGAAGTGCTCCGCTCTGCCCAGCTAAGATGGAAACCAACAAATAGACATTATTATAGAAAAATGAGGGCTCTGAGAAATCAGCAACTGGAAGATAACTCTGTAACTAATAAATGAAAAGGGTCTTTTGATGGCTCCAGCTGAAAAGATATTTTATTTTATTTTTTTTTTCCTGTGTGTGGGATTTGAGATGAGGGTTTCTAAGGAGCAGCCGGGGTCCCCTGCTGCTCAGCTCTGGCTGAAACTGGCCCCCCTCTGGCAAATGTTATGGAGAATTGGGAGGAATTTTATGGCTGTCTTTCCCCTCAGCTCTTTTTTCTTTTGTCTTCTTTGAAGAATGACTTTAGACATTTTATTTACATATTTAACCATGGATGAAAGAAGGAAAAGAAAGCATTTGGGGCTGTCGTGGGAATAGTGATATGTTTAAATTAATGGAAATCTTATTAGGCCTCTAAAATTTTGAGCAAAGGTTTTTAATGAAACTTTATAATTAAACATGATTTCAAATAACATGCAGGGACAAGGAATATTTTTTACCCCAACCACCTAAAATATATATATATATATATATCGGAGAGCTATCCTTAAACATTATCTACCTTCAAGTTCTTGCAAATGTTCACTAGGGAAAGTATAAGGTTTTTAAAAGGGAATATTTCAACAGTCAGGCAGTATTTTGAACCAGAACTAAATATTTTTAGAGGTGGAAGGGAATTGGAAGAGAGGCCCAGTTTCATTCCATTTAAACTAGCAAAGTCAAAAGTATAAAGTACTTTGACACGGATATTGCTAAAAATCAAAGTTGTATCTTTTCTTATTATGTTATAGTCAATGGAAATTATAAGCACTGTGCGAGGTTTTCTGAAATGGGATTAGAGAAAACCCAAATAATCTCTTTAAGATAAAAAGTACTGAGACTTTCAGCAATAAAAAGAAATTAAACCATAAGCTTAGCATGTTACAAGCTAATTGCAAGCGTAAACTTGTGGAATATGAGCAAAGCTTACGGAAAAAAGTAAAATTGTGTCCGTAAATTGTAGGATAAAACATGGTTTAGGCTATCTTAATACTTTTTCAGTAGCTCCCACTTGAATGATCTCTCCTGGCCCATTCAAGTTTGGTGATCCAGTTAAATGATTCTGTGTTTCTTCTCTTACCTTCTAATGTTATCAGTATTTGTATTTAGTCAGGTACTTTTCCAATTCTACCTTCAAGTAAGAATGAAAAGTGATCTATTTACTAATAATTGCCTGGAATGCTGAGGAGTTTGATGTGAATAAACCTCATTTTCCCTGACCTCATCAAGTATTAAGTTTCTGCAGAAACTTATTATCAGATATAAAACACGCATGGAAACACGTATTTTCTAACCAAGGAGGCATGCTCCTTCTGCCCCCCACATTTTCCCTCCATTGAAAAACACCTTTAGTCATCTGAAGTGATACTTAGTAAAGAAAACATGCTGTACCACCAGAAAGGCAATGCAGGTTGCAGGAAATTCAACAGGCACAAAAGTTTTAATTACACCTAAAAACACTAGTTGTGCAATGTTGGGGGGTGGGGATGGGAAACAAACAAAGAGCACCCACATCATAAAAGGGGTGAGTAGAGTGTCCAATGTTGCTCCAATACAATTTAGGCAGCTATTTTAAGGCCACTTCCCTTGAAATGTGGTTTGAAATATTACCAAAGGTTCCACAGGGTGCATTAGTGTGAATTGCAAATCAGAGCATTTCTTTAATCCTCTTTCAAGGCTGGGCTTTGGATCGCTGGCGTCAACGGGGCTCCCTACTGCTTCTGGCGCAGGAGGGACCATT